TTTGCAACAAGAAGATCACTGGCCGGCCTTCCAAACTATTCAGCACCAGTTTGGTTGCGGCGAACTGGTAGCCCAGCCATGCCCAAAATTTTCAAATACTATTTCGAAAAGATTCAGATTCACCTTCACTTCCCCAGGTATTTTGTTAAGAAGGGTACGAAATAAACTCCACCAGGCCATCGCTAATCGCCGACTGTGTGTGAACACCAAAAAGCGGTAGCTAAATTAAAGCTAGTTTAAAAAAAATATAGTTGAAAAAGGTATAAATTTTTAATTTAATATGGGGGTATTTGTTAGGGCAACAGAAGCCAAATCAACAATTTTTTGGATTGGTGTCTGTCTGTCTATCTGTACGCGCGTCACCGATATATTACTAGAGGTTCAATTTAAAATATGTATAGAAAGAAAAAAATTATAGAGTTGTCACCTGTTTGAAAATTCCAGTTTAGGCAATTTGATAAGATAAAGTAAATATTGCAATATGGCCATCAAAGGAAAGGGGTTTAAGAAGGCTTACAGCCGAACATACTTTTGTTGAAGGTGGTCACCTGTTTGAAAATTTTAATTCAATTTTATGGATAAGATAAATTAAATATTTCAATATGGATATCACACTCAAGAGAATTAGAAAAGATTACTGCCAAAAATATTTTTGTTCAGGCAACCCTACTTGAAAAATTTGTTTCAAGTAAATTGCTAAAATTAATGAAATATTCCAAAAAGTCTGTTGTGTTTTTGTTTAAAAATTTAAGTATTTTAAAAATTATGATGATATTAAAATATATTTTTTTCTGTACATACATAAAGAAATTTATTTTTTGCGCATAATTTTAACAATCAAACTTACCACTCAATTTATGACAGAGTTCTCCAATATTATATCTAAGCCAATTGCATTAGTTAGGTCGATATTACATTTTTTATTCTATTAAACTTTTTCTGAAAATTGTTTAGGTACCTATAAGATCTTTTTTCATTGCTAAGACGAAACTTTGTTAAAATCCTTTTTATATTTCAGTTATTCACCCATATATTCTATGCTTTTCAGTTAAAACACAAATCTTAAGTTCTCTCGCTTCAGTCAAAAATTCGATTTTACTTTTTTTTATCAAATTCAATTGATTTGCGCATCTTTTGTTTATTTACCGTATCAATATGTGTTATCTGTATTCCAAGGTGTCACTTAATTCGTGCATTCCATTTATATTTTCAATTTACCAGACATCGAACACATTTTCAATTGTTTTTATTTACTTTGTCAACTAATCAAACTGACCCATATTTTGGTGCATTGTCTTTTTTTTAGTATTTGTTTTAAACTGTTTTTCTTTCAACGAACACTATTTGGTATCTATTGACACGTACATACATACATACATATCCGCTCACTAAGTCAGTAAGCCGCGGGTGATACTCGTATTTCACTTTATCGAATTCTTTTTCAATTTTAATTCTTCAACAGTTTAGTTAACCTTTTCTTGGTTGCAGTGCTGCAAGTAAAAATGAAAATGAACGTTGTTTTTTGTCACACATTTTTCCAATCTTTTTTATCTTTTAAATGATTTTTTTATTGTTGTTTATGATTCTTCGATTTTACGCGCCTTTATTTGTAGTCTGGTTTTTTATTATTTATTTATTTATGATATCGAAGCGCAAACATAATTAATTGTTTAATATCACTTATCGATGTCTTGGTATAATTTTTTGTTTGCTTTTAAAGAAGAATTTCCGCTGTATAGTTAGCAGGAGAATTTTATGTAAAACGCTTTATTTGCTTTTAATCTTACACACTTTAATTTTTAAGCATTCAGAATAAACTAATTCCTATCTGCATAATTTCAGTTGACTTCAATATTCATGAAATTTGTATTTGCCTCATAAAAATATGTATTTATTTGCGTCACTTCAATGCCACATTCACAAATCCAGATTCAAATAAATGTACACACTCCGTTCGCTTCCCATTTTTCGCATGTGCACTACCATTTTGCCATATCTCTAATTGCCTCAGCTGTCATTAGCGCCAGCTCTTCTAAGATGCTTTTGTCACGCACGCATTTCTCGCTAAACACTCGCCCGTTCACCTCGCGCGTTCCACCCACAACAAATCGCACCAACCCCCCGCGCCGTGGCGGTGTGGCAGTCTTCAACAAATCACTTCAAATTTTACCGGCACTGCTCGCGTTCTCTACTCGCACGATGCCTTACTCCCGAACAATTGCACTTTTCTCACTAGGGACAACTTTCCGATTGTAGAGTTCGCGGCAAACTGAATCAACAAATTGAGAAATGCGCCAAGTAAACCCACAGCGCCAGCTGGCAGCTGCTTTTCCTTCAACAACCCTGCACCGCACAAGTTGTGGTTCGATGTTGGAGCGCCACTATTACTTGTTGTGTTTGTTTTCTGCTTTGTTTTATTCCTGCTTTTGCTTTTGAGTTTTCATTTGGGGTTCCGGTCAGTGTTGCCAGAGAAACACTTCGTTTGGAGCTAAAACGGCCAAAAAAGAGCTGAAAAGAGCTAAATAATACTAAAAGGTAGCTAAAATGAAGAGCTAGGATTTTTTTTTGTATTTGAGCATTTATTGGAGTAAGGTGATTTTTACACCTTCCGCAATTTTAATAAAAACAACGAATTTCAAAAGTTTAAGTGTTGAAAAAAAAACATTTAAATCCAAAATAAGGTGCATATATTCGAATTCGTTATATAAACTACAAAATGAACTAAAAATACTTTACAAACTGTTAAAATCTGTAATATCAGATTTTTGAATTGAACATAAAAACTCGGCTTACGTATACGCAAAATTTTTTCGCAAAATTTGTGTGAAAAGTTTCACTTCCTTCTGTCCCTAAATGCTAAATTAGTAAGGCAAAAACAAAATCCGCTCGTTCAGAAAAAACGATTTTCTTCTTATTGTATAAATTTTGAATTCATTAAGCTAGATCCATGAATTTATAGTGCAGTCTGTATTTTTCCGTGGATACTAATGTTTATTTTTCCACTAAAATTTGTAACTTTATCAATGCTGAAGTTTTGACTTTCCTTTTCCTACAATGGCCGCCTGAGAAAGAATACATCGTCTAATATAATAATAAGTCTTCTTATTTGCAAAAAAAAAATTCTAACGACTTTCGAAGCATTTTAGCGGGCATCAAACCTATTGGAAAAAGTTCTCTCTTTTATCTAGTAACCACAAAAAAATTTTCAAGAAAATTAAGAATTATATTTTTGAAAAAATTTAGTCTTTTGATTTTTCCAAAAAGCAGCCGCAATTTTGTTAATTTTCAAAATTTTTTAAATTTTAAAGTACGCAAATATAGCGCATCAAAACACTTCTACAATCAAAAAACCGATTTGCAAGATATTGATTTTTAAAAAACTAAAAAGTTTTGAAAAAAAATTGTCAGCCGTTTTTTCTCTAAAACCACACTTTGTCCTAAAATTTTCAGAGTTCGTAACTCAACGATTTTTTTTTGTCAAACAAAAAAAAAAAATACGTGTATCTTGATTTGTCCTAAAAAAAGCCAGAGCTAGGAACTAAAGCCCAATTTTCAGAGCCAAATAGAAAGATAAAGAGCTCCAAAAGCAGAAAAATGGCAACACTGGTTCCGGTGTGTATGGCACGCGACTGCAATGGTTTGATGAACTCTTGTTGCTTTTGTTGTGACCTTTAATTTGCGTTAATACACACATAAATATTCATATTCTATGTGCGTTTGTGTGTCGTCGCTAATCGTTGTTC